AAAATCAAATTGTCAGATCTGCTTAAATTTAGATTCCCGCCTTGAGCAAGAGGTTGGGCTGGATGGCCTTAGAGGCCCCTTCCAACTCCATGATTCTAGGATTCCATGACCTGAAAAAATGAAAGCTTTTGCTTCTTATGATTCTCTCATCCTTTTCTCTCCATATCTCCCGCCCGCCCTTGTTCTTCTTTCTTTATACCAGGCCTTGTGAACCTCTGCCGGCTCCACTCTGCGGCCACGCGGCCTGTGTCTTGGACAGCTCCATCTATGTCTGTGGAGGAAGCGATGGTTCGTGCCGCTGTCACTCCACTCTGATCCGTTACCTCCCTGGGGCGCCCCCCATTCCACTGGCCACCATGCGAGAAGAGAGGGCGGGACATGCCATGGAAGTCCTGAATGGGCAGATCTACGTAGCCGGTGGCCTGCGCTGGCGGGACGGCCACGGAGGCTACGCCGATCAACTGGCCTGCGAAACGTATAACCCCAAACTGGATGTATGGGTCGCCCTGAGCCCCCTGCCCCAGCCCCATGTTATCGCTGCCTCTGCTGTCTTGGAGGGAGAGCTCTACATATTGGGAGGTTACAGCCACGACACCTATCGTGACACCCACCTGATTCACTGCTATAATCCAACGCACGACCGCTGGGTCAATGTCGGGACACTGCCTCAGGCTTACGCTGACCTCAGAGCCTGCGTCTTAGAAGTCCCAGCCTCCCTCAGGGGAAAGGACGCCTCTCCCTCAGATACTCCCAACCTGGGAATCTCGGCTGATCCTGAAGGCATCTGATCCCTTGCCAACTTTCCTCAAATGCAAGCCTTGGGAACGGTTGACCTTCCAGATGTTGGGCACGTCCGCTCTCAGAGGCCTATGTCAACATGGCCAGGGATGAGGCAACCATCAGCTAGCTGGATAGCTCAGTGGTTTAGGTATCTGCCTGTGAAGCCAGAGGTTGGGAGATTGATTCCCCAGTGTGTCTCCTGGGAGTAAAGCCCAACCTGTATGGCCTTGGGAGTAAAGCCCAACCAGGATGCGCCCGGAAGAAGGAAATGGTAAACTATCTACCCGGAAAACCCTTAAAAGGCTCACTATGAGTCAGAACTGACTTGGCACCACTTGATTATTATTATTATTTAGTCTGAAAGATCTGGATTACCTAAGATTCCTGTTATAAGGGAATCCGTTAATTCCTACATGGATTGTCAAATCGCTGTGGGCAGAAGCTCGGTAGGCCAATTCACAAATGGCATGCACCATTTTTCTGCTCTTAGCACCCTTATACGCTTATCGCCGGAATGTGTGAATTGACTCAGCTGGCCAAAAAATACAGAAGTGCAGGTGATATGACAACTCTCCCTGTGGTCTTAGATCCTTCTAATATTGTATCTGCATCCACCTGCCTTGATTTGATCATCAATAAGGGATAACGTTGTCCTCTCTGAATTAGTCTTATACATTTGCTGGAGCCATTCAAAAACCACATTGCATTCAAATGCTTCATTTCCTCTTATTTATTTGCAATATTTACATACTGCTTCTGTCCTAATAAAGGTGAACAACACACCTGTACATACGTACCTGTGTCTGTCCATCTGTCTAACGGCTAGTCTCCACAACAGTGACACTTAAGATGCCTCAAATCTGTCATGTCAACTGCAAAAACCTAGGGATGTCTACCTCTGTGTCATTTGGTGGTGTGTGTGTGTGTGTGTGTTTTTTGTGACTGAATAATTGTTGTTCATTTAAATCAGCCTGCAGTAACATCTTGGTAAATGTCCTTCTGTCTGTCCATCTGTCTAACGGCTAGTCTCCACAACAGTGACACTTAAGATGCCTCAAATCTGTCATGTCAACTGCAAAAACCTAGGGATGTCTACCTCTGTGTCATTTGGTGGTGTGTGTGTGTGTGTGTGTTTTTTGTGACTGAATAATTGTTGTTCATTTAAATCAGCCTGCAGTAACATCTTGGTAAATGTCCTTCAGTGTTGGAAAGGAAGGCACTAGAAATAAATAAATAAATAAATAAATAAATAAATAAATAAATAAATAAATAAATAAATAAATAAATAAATAAATAAATAAATAAATATTTGCATTCTGGTTTGTGGGCAAATCCAGGAGGTTTAACTTTGGTACATCTGCTTTAAAATGAGAACAAAATAACATTCTTATCCACTCCTACTTATTCAATGGATATAATAAGAGTGAGATTGTTTTGGGTCAGGAAAATGATGCACATGGGAAATAGCTGAATAGCTCCATGTCACCATCTCTGCAGCGCTTTCCTGGTCAATCAGTAAGCCAGTCTGTCTATCTATTTTCATTTTTATGCTGCCTTTCTCCCAATCAAGGGACCCAAGTGATTCAAAAACAAATCAACTACACCCACAATAAATTATGAGATTAAGAAACAACATGTAACAGTATCAACATGATTTAAGTTGTTAAAAACATCCTTAAACCTACATTTAAAACACATATAAGATAACAATAGTGCCCAGCATGTAATATTAAAAATTAGTTGTTAAATTAGTTGTTAGAAGCCTTCCTAAAAGAGATGGCCTTCACCTGTTGCCAGAGGTGTGAGAGGGGTCAACCTAGACTCTCCCAGGAGAGGGTATTCAACAGTGTGGGAGCAGTCACTGTAGCCAAATTAGACATTTCAAGTAATGGGTGCAGCTGGTGCGCCTGTTTTAACTGTGCAAATACACTCTTGGCCACTGCCAAGACCTGAGTATTCAAGCTCAAGCATGAGTCTGGGATTATAACCAAGTTCCAAGCCTGAGTTGTCAAGGAGAGTTGTAACCCCATCCATATT